TAAAACAACAGACAAACAGCAGCAGCAGCAGAAACCAACAAAACCACCACGGGCACGCCGACGCCGTGCTGCTCCTCCTGCTGCTGCTGTTGCTGCTGCTGCTGCTGCTGCTGTTGCTGTTGCTGCTGCTGCTGCTGCTGCTGCTGCTGCTGGAGGCTCTAAGCTGCGACATCCACTGCTGCGAAGCCTACCCCGGCCGGGGTTGCCTTGCTGCCGTTGCTGCTGCTGCTGCTGCTGTCGCTGCTGCTGCTGCTGCTGCTGCTGTTGCTGCTGCTGCTGCTGCTGCTGCTGCTGCTGCTGCTGCAGGGCTTCAGCAAACTGCATGCGGCTGTGCAAGGAGGAGAAGCGACGCAGCAGCAGCTGCATGGCGGTGCTGTCTTCGGTGGGGAGAGACAAAGAAGTGCGGCTGCTGCTGCTTCCCCCTTTGTTTGCTGCTGCTGCTGCTGCTGCTGCTGCTGCTGGTGCTGCTGCTGCTGCTGCTGCTGCTGGTTCCTCTGCTCTCAGCCCCTCCCTGCAAGAGACAGAAAAATTATCAATGCGATGCCCATTGCTGCTGCTGCTGCTGCTGCTGCTGTTGTTGTTGCTGCTGCTGTTGCTGTTGTTGTTGCTGCTGCTGTTGTAGCTGCTGCTGCTGCTGCTGCTGCTGCTGCTGTTGCTGCTGCTGCTGCAGGTAGAATTCGAGAGGCCAGCCGGTTGCTGCAGTGCAGCAGCAGGGTCAGAGCTAGGAGAGATGTTTGCTGCTGTCTCCCTTGGCTTTGCTGCTGCTGCTGCTGCTGCTGCTGCTGTTGCGTCTGCTGCTGTTTCTGCTGCTGCTGCTGCTGCTTCGGCTGCTGCTGCAGCATCTGTCTCCTGACCGCAGCATAAAACCCCATTACCATCCGCTTCCTGCTGCTGCTGCTGCTGCTGCTGTTCCTGCTGCTGCTGCTGCTGCTGCTGTTCGTGCTGCTGCTGCTGCTGCTGCTGCTGCATGCATTGCTGCTCCTTTTCTTCCACTGTGAATACATTGACAATATACTGGGGATGCTCTTGCGGCTGCTGTTCCTGCAGCAACCCGCTGCTGCTGCTGCTCCAGCTGCTGTTGCTGCTGCTGCTGCTGCTGTTGTTGCTGCTGCTGCTGCAGTTGCTGCTGCTGCTGCGCCACAGCTGCTTCAAGCCCTCCTTCACTTGCTGCTGCCGCGCGAAATCTAATAGCCTCGCCCCTTCACTAGGAGGTTCTTTTGCTGCTGCTGCTGCTGCTGCTGCTGCTGCTGTCCCTGCTGCTGCTGCTGCTGCTGCTGCTCTGCTGGGGGTATTCCGAGGTGTATAGGGAGCTATTGAGGGGGGGACATACGAACCCGTTGATTGCTGCAGCAGCAGCAGTTGCTGCTGCTGCTGCTGCTGCTGTTCCTGCTGCTGCTGCTGCCGCTGCTGCTGCTGCTTGCTGGTTTGCTTCAGCAGCAACGCTGCTGCAACGACGGGGGCCCCATTAAGTACTACTGCTAGCAGCAGCAGCAGTTTGAGTGCGAGGTTCTCCGTGCTGCTGCTGCTGCTGCTGCTGCTGCTGCTGTTGCTGCTGCTGT